CATGTACACTAAAATTTTAGGTTTCTTTTTTGGAATACAAGAGGCTCTTTGCTGTTTACAAGGTATGTTGGGAAAATGTCATTCTCCTTATGTTTCTCCTTTACTCTCATATCACTACCACACTCATAAAACTTATGACACCAAATGTACGGAGGTTTCCCCACCCCGTGCAATTCTGTGACAGCACCTGGGGGCCTACAATTTAACTCAGTTATGACACTGTCTACCTGGAGATAGCACCAGGTCTCATAAGTGCTCAGCCTCACATGACTGTCCCCTCATTACCCCAACCCCCACATATACTTCAGATAGCAATCACAAATCTAGGTTGTTACTTACGGTTCTGACCCATCAGCTATAATGTAGAAGTTCCCAAGATGCCCTCCTCTAAGATTTGATTAATTTGCTAGAGCGGCTCACAGAACTCAGGAAAAACAGTTTACTTGCTGTTTATCAGTTTATTATAAAAAGATAAGATAAAGGACATAGATGAACATCCAGATGGGTAGGTTCATAGGACTAGGTCTAGGAAGATCCTGAGTGCAGGAGCTTCTCTGTCCTGTGGAGCTGGGGTGTGTCACCCTCCTAGTATGTGAATGTCATCAATCTGGAAACTCTCCAAACCCGGTCCTGTTGTGATTTTTATGGAGGCTTCCTCAGTAGGTGTGATCAATGAACAACTCTGTATCCAGCCCCTCTACCCTCTCTAGAGAGCTGGACTTCAGAGACGCCCCTATGGCAAGGAATCGGGGGTAGCCTCTGGCCCAAAGCCAGCAAGTGATTGAGGCCCTTAGTCTAACCATGTGATCTTGCAAACAGATCTTTCCCTAGTTGAGGATCAGATAGACCACAGTTCTGGCCAATATCTGACTACAGCCTTGTAAGACCCTGAATCAGAGGACCTAGCTAAGCCTTATCTGGACTCCTGATAGAGAAACTCTAAGATAGTAAATGTGTGTTGCTTTAAGCTACGAAGTCTCTGATCATTTGTTAGGTAGCACTAGATGACTAACACACCTAGGTTACCAGAGACCAGTATTCATAAATGTCATAGCTCAGTGTTTCTCATTACTATCGCTTCTGTGAGGATGATGCTTTGTTTCAGGGCTAACAATTACGTGTGTGATGCACATCCAAAGTCCGCTCTTGTCTGCCTATCAGAATTACTAGAGATGTTTGAACCCTTAGCCAGAGCTAATCAAACAGAATCTCTGGAGCTAGGACCTGCTCGAATGTATTTTTAAAGAACGCTTTGAAAATTATCTTCCCAAGAGATTTATTAACTACAAAGGAAGAAATAGTACCTTTCTTTAGAGTGGAGAAATCTAAGCATCTTAACCATGTGATCAGTGGTGACATCACCAACAGGACACATCAACATTGTGTGTCCTCTGGAATTATCTCTGAGGATATATTACTTCTGTAGTATTAATGCATAACCTTAATGTAGTCAGAGAAAATACTGAATCAAACCCAAATTGAGGAATATTCTACAAAATAACTGGCCGGTATTCTTTAAAAAAAAAAAAACTAAGTAATGAAAGACAAGAAAAGACTGGGGAACTGTCACAAATTGGAGACTAAAGAGAAATAACAAGTAAATCTACCACAGGAACTGGAATCAGTGGCAAGGACTACAGTAATTACTAGTTTGTACTGATGTTAATTTCCTGGTTTTGATAATTATAACAAAGGTTATATAAGACATTAACATTAGGAGAAACTGGATGAAGACTATATAAGAACTGTTTTTGCAACTTTTTAAATCAAATATTATTTCAAAATAAAAACAAAAAACCTCTCTATACTTGGGAGTTTCTCAAAGTATTTACTTTTGCTCTTCAGAAACACAGAGACATTTACTTTTACTTTGGTGACAGCCAAAGGACTGAGCTGGAGGAATGACAGTAGACCAGGTCATGGTGTCATGACCTTGTCGGAAAACAGAAACACTTGCAATGCTTCCTGCATTTTGAAACATTTCCCCCCTTTATTTTGTTTTTCACTTACAAAAGTAATATACGTTTTAACAAGTAAAACAATACAAAGATAGATAAACAACTGCTTATTTTTCCCTTCCTCCCACCAACATAACCAATGTTAATTAAGACCTTGCTGTAAATCCATCCATACTTTTCTTTGTTCATAGAAACATACATGCATATATATACACATACAGGAGTTTTACTTTTTTTAAAAAAAATAGATTAATATACATTTTTCTGCAATTTGCCCTTTTCACTTAACAGTATACCATGAACAAATTAGCAGAGTTCTAGTTCCCCACTCAAATAATTTTACTTAATCACACATTTGAGATATCATACTTGGTATATATATATTTTTCTATTTGGCTTTCATTTTCCCTCTCTGACTCCCTCATTACCAACCTGCATCACCCACCTCCCTCTAACCCAATGTATACTCTTACATACTTTTCATCATGCATAGAAAATCATAAACAAACGTATATGGATACATGTTTTTCACTCAAATAGCTAGAGGAGTTCTGTCACTGATTTATAGGAACAGGCTATTTTATATACTTGTGCTTTTTTTTTTTTTTTAAGGAAACACTGTGGAATTCTATTCAAGTCCACTAGCATGGTTTAATTTTTCCACCTTAATGGTTATATAAACAATCTATGGAATGGATATACTGTTTCTCCCCTCTTCCAGTTTCCCTACTGATGGGCATTTATTTTGATTCTAGTGTTTTATTGCCAGTAGGAACAATTTCGTAATACACATATTCATCTGTCCTTTATGTATTGGGGTTTTACTTCTAAGAGAAGATTCCCCAAAGTGGCATAAGTATTTTAAGTTATAAAAGATGTTGCCAGATTGTTTTTCGAAAGAGCTGAATCTGTGTGTCCACCAGCAGGGTATAAGAACAACCTTTGTTGGGGACAGCAAAAAGCATTCCTGCTATTTTCTGTCAGTTTGGTTGCATAGTTATCTCATTATGACTTTAATCTGTATTCCCCAACAACTACCAAGGCAACACATTTTTTGATAGTCCCACCAACTACTTGGATTTGCTCTTTTTACAACTTTCTATTCATATTCTCTACCATGTTTTGCCATTGAGTTATCTCCTTCCTGTCAATCTGAAAAGCACTTCTCCACTGATTGGCTTTGCAAATATTTCACCCCAAATTATAATGTATTGACTTTTTTGATGGCATCTTTTGCCATACAAAAGATCATAGTTTTACATAGTCAAGTTTTTCCTATTTTTAAATTTTTATTTAAGTAGACTCCATGTCCGGCATGGAGCCCAATGTAGGGCTTGAACTCATGAGCTGAGATCAAGAGTCAGACTCTTAATGTACTGAAGCACCCAGGGCCCTATTTTTTAATAGTTTTTATCCTGTGTTGATAAAGTTAATCTAACTCCTAGATTGTACATGTAGTCTTTCATTTTCCTTTAAGAACTTTATTATTTAAAAAATTTAAATCTTAGGGACGCCTGGGTGCTCGTTGGGCAGCTGCCTTTGGCTCAGGTCATGATCCCCACATCCTGGGATCGAATCCCACAACGGGCTCCTTGCTCAGCGGGGAGCCTGCTTCTCTCTCTGCCTCTGTCTGCCACTCTGTCTGCCTGTGCTCACTCTCTCTGACAAATAAAATCTTTAAAAAAAATTTAAATCTTAAATCCACCTGGATTTTTTTTATATGGGTGGGGCTGCTAGCCCAACTTTACTTTCTTCCTGATTAAAAGCCAATTGTAACAGAATTCTTTATAAACATCTATTTCAGGATTTTCTATGCTGTTCCATTGAAATGAACAGGTTCCTCTGCCAATACTTTATTAAAGTGACTTCATATTATATTCTGACATCTGGTATACAATTTTCTTTTTCATATTTTTCTTGTTTAGACTGTTAGAATAAATGTTCTTCCATAAGGACTTTAAGATCATTTCACATAAGATTAAAAAAAAAGGCACAGACACTTAGTGTAATTCCAAAAGTAGTGCATTTAAGTTATTAGATGTTTACAGAGAGAAACTTTTAATTTCTATACTGTCTTCTCAGAAAATTATCTTTTAACTCAAAACAATTACTAGTCTCATTTACTGATATAAAATCATATCAGCGAAAAGTTTTACATTTTTTGTTTATACCAATTATTTATTTTCCATTGTCTTCTAAGACAATATTTAGTAAAAATAGACAGCAGTGAACACCCTTATCTCTAATACTATTAAATTCTTAATCTTCAAAAAATGGTTTTAACATAATATATGCTATAGAGTTTTGGTAAAGATACTCTTAAGTGGTTATTACATGCTACAATTTAACTTGTATTAGATTGGAAATGTTTGCAAAATCCAATTAAATATCTTCCAGCATCTATTGATGGCATCTTCTCTTTCATACTATTAATTTTATTGATGTATTTCCTATTACTGCATTGACTCTGCATTCTTGGAGTAATTCTTCCTTGGTCATTATAATACATTGTTCTTAGGTATACTGCTGAATTCCATTTGCTATTATTTTAATTATAATTTTTTATTTCTAAGGTCATGGGTAAGACTGGTTTGGGGTTTTCTTTTTTCCACTACTTTGATTTGGTTTTGGAGTTAAAACTTACTCTGACTTCATAAAGTAAATTGGGGATCATAGTCTATGGGCTGAGATATTTCAAGTAACACTGGTATTACTCTTTAAAAGTTAGATGAGGGGCACCTCAGTGGCTCAGTCAGTTAAGCATTGACTCTTGATCTCAGCTCAGGTCTCAACCTCAGAGTCATGAATTCAAGTCCCATCTTGGGCTCCATGTCTTGGGCTCCATGCTAGGCATAGAGCTTACAAAAAAAGTTAGATGAAACTAATTATGAAATCATCTGGGCCTGGAGCATTTTTCAATCCTAGATCTTTAATCACTTTTCCAAACTCTTCAAAGGTAATTGTTCTATCAAGTTTCTTACTGCAATTTTTCTAACTTACATTTTGCAAGAAAAACATTTATTTCCTCTTTTAAAAGCGTGTTGATCTAAAAAAAAATTAAAGCATGTTGATCTAAATTGGTAAGAAGTATCTTTTATCATTCTTATAATCACATCTTTATCTGGGATTATGTTTCCTTTTTTTTTTTTCCAAGTTTTTATTTAAATTCCAGTTAGTTAATATACAGTGTAATATTAGTTTCAGGTGTAGAATTTAGTGATTCATCTCATAAACACAATATCCATGTGATTGCTTCCTTTCTTATTCTGGATCAGGCATTCTTATACGGAGTCAAATCTTGAAAAACGTGGCCATTTGTTTTATTTGGATGACACAGCAGCTCAGGGAAGCAGACTTTTTTCAAAGACTGGAATGATGAAATGATTTGGGTTTTAGTGCCTAGGACATTCACAGGGAAACTGAGAGGGAAGAGAAGTGGATGTTGCTGAATTAATTTGCAAAAAGAAAACAAACAAACAAAAATCTCCTTCTTTGGTCTCTGCATGAAGCATTTCTGAATTATAAGACTCATATAAACAGTGTCTTTCCTATTAATTTGCTGCAAGGTATGTTAAGCAAGACTAAGAAAATAGAAGAGGTGCACAATATACCAGGGCCATACTAGTTTTTGTCAAATAATGGCTGGATTGAGTAATCAAGTTTATAATGTTTTGTTCATCCAATATTGGTTGTGAAACTATTCCTAAGCTTTGCCTTTTTAACATTAACAAATGTTATTATCATTTTTTATATTGTTAAGACACTAAAAGACAGGGATGATATTTAGAGTGCAAAAGTTGAACAGCATTCTACATACTGTGTGACACACATACACTTGATATTCACAATTTACATTAAATTCACATTTACATTTCCAAAATATAAATAATGCTTATTATGTGGCTCACTGTGGAATATACCATAATATACCAATTCTCTTCACATATATTCTGTATGCTGTTGTCATTCCATTAACATACTTTTAAACTTTCATAAGCCAGAGTGACCATGTTTATGTTTTATAAAGTATTTTCTATAATCTTTGTATAAAAATTTCTACAATTAGAACAAGACTTCCCTTATGGTAAAACATTTTGTCCAGATTCATTAAATCCATGAGATTTCTCCTAAAAATTAATGCCTGCACATATAATGAAATAGGACACCTTGCTTAAGGCTTTCTCACAATTATCAGGTTTTAATTCCTATAGGCATTCTTTCTGGCATGAATTTTTTGATGTCTACTTAGGTTTGGCTTCTGATAAAAAGCTTTGCCACATTCACTGCATCCATAGGGTTTTTCTCCTGTATGAGTTCTCCAGTGTTTATTGAGGCATGATTTTTGGCTGAAGGATTTCCCACATTCTCTGCAACGGTATGGTCTTTCTCCTGTGTGTATTTTTCGATGCACATTGAGGTATGACTTCTCGCCAAATGACTTCCCACATTCACTGCACACAAAGGGTCTCTCTCCAGTATGTGTTCTTTGATGTTCTCTGCGGTGTGACTTCTGAGTGAAGGCCTTCCCACAGAAAAAACATTCAAAGGGTCTTACCCCAGTGTGAATTCGCTGATGTTTAATGAGGGTTGACTTATGTGAAAAGGCTTTCCCACAGTCAGTGCATCCATATGGTTTCTCCCCAGTGTGACTTCTTTGATGCCTAATGAACTCAGACTTGTAGCAGAAGGCTTTCCCACACTCGCTACAGACATGGGGTTTCTCTGCAGGTGGAACCCTCTTACGTTTGTACGCAAGAGAATTGGTTACTGCTGGTTTATACATAAGTGCTGGGTTGTGGCTGAAAGCTTTCTCACAATGACTGCATTCCCAGAGTTTTTCTCCATTAGGTCTTCTATCATGGTTTGTATGTTGTAACAATTTCCCACAACCACAGCACTCATCTTGCTTTTTTGAATAGTTTCTTTTAAAACCAATCAAATCTAAATTATGGTTTGCACTCTTCCCACAGGGATCCCAGTTACTAGGATTTTGAATTGAAGGAGAAAGATTAGTGCCCAGAGGTGGTATTTTCCCAAACTTATTGTTTTCATGGCTTCTTTCCTTGGGCAATGTTTTCTTACTGATGAATGCACCTTGTTTCAAAATCATGTCTTGTCTTTTCCTCTGGACATTAACTTGACAAATGTTTTCTGGAGAAAATACAGCAAACCTTTCTTTATTCTATTATTATGATCTAGAATAAAATTACTTGAGAAATACCCTAAGAATTTAAACAATGCATGGTATGTGATTATAACACCAAGTGTAAGTAGCATAAACAGATGTGGGAACAGTCAGCACTAACTATTCTTGCTAAGCCCATGACTCTTGTGGAGAGGTACAAGTTCAGAGGCATCCTTAAGAGCAGGTTACTAACACTTGGGGTACCATGGGTATTGTTGGGATATTTTACATAAGCTGATGGGAGAGGGGCAGTTATTCTGAATGTTAAAATGAAAGTGGTTAAGATGGGCCAAGCTCAGTCATATGCTTTACTGCCTCACTGTCCTTGGTTACCTGAAATTTAATACTTCCTCCTCTTGGACTTAAGGAAACTAAAGGACTAAGGGATAATTTAAGGGATTAAGGAAAGGATGGGAAGTGAGAGTGTGCGTATGGAGGGCAGGTCTGGGGCATTTTACCTGGAAACTGTGAGAACAGGAAATAGGAAGGGACCAGCAGGAATGGGAGAATGACAGAAGCTAACTTTAAGAATGTCTGAATGTAAAAGAGAAGGTGAACTGAAAACCTTAAGTTAAAGAGACTGAGGATTCTAGAGAAAGGGCAATGGAGCAAGAACACAGGGAGAGGTGAGATGAGAAGGAATGCCTGGATAAAGGAGGTGGGGTGCATGGAGGAAGACGGGTCATCAAGAAGGCTCAAGTTCTCAGAGGACGTCTCCAGCTGCTTGCAAAGCTCTAAGGCTTTTGAGAGCTGGACTCTGCACAGAATCCCAAAGGTGCCAGCCTCCCATAGTACCTCTTTTGCTGGACAGATACTTACCCTGACAGTGGCAGCCTGAGCATGCTGCCTCACAAATCCATGGCGCTTCTTCCTGCTCCAGCTTGAGGATCACATAAGGTTTCGTGCCTTCATAACCTGTTCCAGGGAAATGATCCAGGCCTTGGGCTGAGCTCCTTGGTCTTCAGGGCCACTCAGGCAGCATTAAAGGCTGCACAACAGACATTGTACTTGGGAGAAGACTGTACACACACCTTGTCCAGAATCCAAAAGGAATTAGTAACCCAGGACCACTGAACCTCAAGCCAAACTCACTGAGGTAGCACAGTGTACGAATGAGGAATGCAGACTGTGGGGGCGCCTGGGTGGCTCAGTCATTGGGCATCTGCCTTTGGCTTGGGTTGTGGTCCCAGGGTCCTGGGATCGAGCCCTGCTCTGGGCTCTCTGCTTGGCGGGGGGCCTGCTTCTCCCTCTCCCACTCCCCCTGCTTCTGTTCCCTTTCTCACTGTCTCTCTCTCTCTGTCAAATAAATAAAATTTTACCAAAAAAAAGAAAGGAATGCAGACTGTGCAGATTGCTGGGGTTCAAATCCTACTCTGGCTCTGTATGTCCTATGTGAGGTGACACGGGCAAGTTACTTCACTCATCTGCCTCTGTATCCAAATGTGTAAAATCGTAGGTACTAACAGTACCTACCTCATAAGGCTCTTAGGAGAATTAAGTAAGTTGATATTTTAAAAGTGGCTGAAGAAGTGTCTGGCACATAGGAAGTTTTTGGTACTTCTGAGGCTCTAGGTACCTCAGTGTCTTTTAGCAACTGCAAAAGGGAAGGTGGTCGTTCAGGCATCATCTAGATTGTGTGATGGAGCTGTTCTTACCCACGGAGACAAGGTTGCTGTAGGTCTCCAGCATCACATCCCGGTACAGTGCCCTCTGAGCAGGATTCAGCCTGTGCCACTCCTCTTGGGTGAAGCCCACTACCACGTCTTTGAAGGACACAGTTCTCTGCTGAGGATGAAATGACACTGAGCCATGTGGGAAATGCAGCCAGGGATAGATGGTATGGAGTTTTTATGTTCCTAGGTAAGAGCTTACCATGATCATTTATCTACCTAAGATGGCTTTTACCTTCCTGCCTTTGGGCTATATATGGTAGGGAAAATAACAATCACATGGAACCCACTTTGAGTCAACCTATATTGACTGAAGAAGACTTGCTGTGTGTCACCCAGTGCTGGCTGCTGGAGACACAGTCATGGATGGTTCCTGACCTCAAGGAGCTCACAACCTGGTGGAAAGCATTACGTAAAGCCATCCAGGTGAAAGTATACGAGCTATGGTGGCAGGACATCTAGGTTATAATACGTGGAAAACTGTGAATGGTCCATTAAATGTTTCAAGGTCTTAGCCAGGCTTCAGAGCTAGGGGACTTGTAGAGCTGAGTTTTCTCTACAGAAAGATGGAGAAACTACAGTCCTTGCAAAGGGAGCAGCATGAACACAGGCATGTGGACAGAACAGTGACTTTAAGGGCTGCGAGGCTCTCAGTAACAGGAACAGTATACAGGGGACTGTGAGTGATGAGATGATGGGCTTTAAGACAATGGAAAATCTACCAAGGGAGAGGTGTGTGTAGAAAGCACATTCTATTACGCATGTGGTAAGTTCCTTGCATCCCATGTCTCCTAGGTCAAGTGGTACTGTGGTAACTCTAAGCAGACTGGGGATATACTGTATCCCCAGAGGAACCACTAAATCAGAGTGCAAAGAGGTGTACTGCAGTAAATGAATTCCAAAAATTGTTCGTTTAATCCACACAAACACACATGTAAGAGAAGAGAAGAAAGAGAGGAACAAAAGTGCATGGGACAAATAGAAAACCAAATACTAAAATGATAGATACAAACCCAACCACGCCAATAATTATAGTCAATGACAGTAAATTATAATATAAATTAATATATGACTGAAACACTCCAAAAGGGAGAGATTGTTATGCTGGATTGAAAAAGCAATGCTACCTGTAAGAGATACAAAACCCAGATAATTTGCAAGTGAATGGATACAAAGAGAAATGTGGTGGGTGACCTAGAGGGAAGCGAAAGCAAAGACTGTAATAACGCAGGTACAAGGTGGCGTTCACAAGTGGCCAGTAACAGTGAGACAGAGAAGGGCTGTTGTAAAGAGCAGACCCTGCATCTTAACTGCTTGTGGGGGGTGAAAAAGGGGCCAGGGTAACACCCAAGTATCTCAAAGCCATCTGGGTGATGGTGAATCAGATTTGAGAAAAATAGTACAAACTAGAAACAAAGAGGATGTGTTGTTAGACATGTCTGGGGACACTTAGCAGGCAGCAGGATGAACAAATGAGTCAGCAAGCAAGATGGGAAGGGAGCTAAAGCTTTGGAAGCCAGCAGCAGAGAAGTGGTAGCTAAAGTTGTCAGTGTGGGATCTCTCTGCAAGGAGACAGGATGAGCAAAGTGCCCAGGCCAGAGCCCCAAGGGACACTAATAGAGTTCAGCTGAAGACCCAAGAGAAGGACCCACAGGTACTAATAATGTAAGAGGGCACCTGTGATATTGTGATATATTAAAAAATATCTATTTGGTCTTTCTTCATGGTTCCTGGAATAGAGCTTCTTAAACTCTTGTAACTTTCCAAGTAACAGGGGTAATAGGAGTGTCTTTTGTTATTCCTAACAAGCCCCAATTAACAATATAGGAGTTTATGCCAATAACATGGAGGAAAGGGGCTGGTTGCCAGAGGAACTAACCATATGATTAGAGGGTTGGAACTTTCAGCCCCCTTCTCTATCCTATGGGTCGGGATAGGGGTGGATGGATGGTACCAGAGATTGAGCTAATTACCAATTAATGATTTAATCAACGATGCCTACATAATGGAAATATCATGAAAATTCTGAAGAGCTTTCAGGTTGGTGAACACATCTGGAAAGATGTACACCCCAAACTCCAGACAGAAGCTCATGTCTCCCAGATCCCCAGATCTGTGAGTCATTATAGCAAATTATCAAAACTGAAGAGGGGGGTCAGGGGAACCCCTGATTTACAGCTAGTTGGTCAGAAGTTCAGGTGACAACCTAAGATTTGTAATTAGCATCTGAAGGGGGGGCAGTCTTATGAGACTGAGTCCCTAACTTGTAGGGTCTATGCTAACTCCAAGTTGAACTAAGTTGTAGGACACCCAGTTGGGCGTCCACAGAGGATTAGGAGAATTGTTTGGTGTAGGAAAAAAATTCCCCTATTCCTGTGAGTAGAGGAAACAGTACCTATGATATATCTTCAAGTGACTATAAAAAATTGAACCTTGCCCCAAGAGAGGTCTGATCTTTGCCCTCGACTCCTGGGAGTTAATCTCTAAGCCCCTGCAGTGTTCTGCTTGATAAGACCATCTTTGTTTACTTGGGGGTCTTGGGCCACATGGGATAGTCTAACAATATGATTTCTGGTGGGAGCTCTGGGTCACACACATGAGCTCAACCTCAGGAGGAAGCCGTACATCTCTTTAAAAAATGTGGGGTCCTACAGTGGCACCAAGCAGATGAACCTGAAGGCAGGACCTGGTACCTGAGACCCTAGACCCATATAAAGGCCATGTACATAGGAGGTACCAACCTGATATCCTCTCTGATGTCAGAATAATATACCATGGTTGTGGGAGAGCAGCAATCAGCCTTAACCACAGAGCATGGAGCGTGCCTCAGTTGACAGGCCTGGGTCGGTATTTCCCAAACAGAGATAACTGGAGTGGGATGGGATGGGATGGAATAGAACAGAATAAAATAGAAAAGATGTAATTTGACACTCAAAAAGGCATGTCATTTTTCATCAAACACAGGGATGAAGAACAAAGATGGAAGAAACATTAAGGTTGTAAAATTACTATCACGTAGTGACTGAGTGTGAGAAGGGGAAGGCAGAGAGAACTCAAGGAATAAATCTCATGGTCCTGACTTGTCCGCTGGGGGATGGTACCATCTCCTGAGATGGGAAACTGGGGCACAAAGAGATTCAGAGACATGTGCAAGGTCATACAGATGGTAAGGTCAGGGATTCAAATTCAGCAGTCTTGTTCCAAGTCTGTGCTCTCACCCAGTATATGTTCTTGCCTTCTGCACAAAAGGGGCTTTGCAAAAGGTACAGTCTAATTTAGCAGAACAGTCAAAAAGCATCTTCTGATTTCAGCTTCAGCAAAGTCCCCTGGGCTCCTGGCCAGAAAAGCTTTAGTAAAGTGGGGCGAGAAGATGCTGGACTCAAGAAATAAGAAACAGGATATGGAAACATCAAGAGCAGGAAGTCACTATGGAAGATGGAGGAGGAGAGAAAAGAAAGAACTCTGTGGTTTGGAAGTGGTGATGGTTTCTAGGGTTGGAGCCATTGTAGGGACAAGGGAAAAGATCTGGGAAAACGGAGAGGAGGGGTCTCCAGAAAGAGATGTCCCTTCCTGGAGGGAGGCCTCCAAAGACGTGGAAATGTAGGAACTCAGAGGCTGAGGGGGAGTCCTGTCAAGACACAGGGCGCTTCACCATCTTAAGATGATGAGGAAGGTAGGGGGAGCTGGGAACTCTTCACACCAAGACTTGGTGGGGAGTAAGATGTTCACTGTTTGCTGCCAAACTAGCAAAATTCCCAGTTAATGGAATGACAGTAATTTAAGTAATGGACAGCTCATCTGTTCCTCAGTCTAAATCAAGGACACAGATACTCTGGACCAAAATCAGGGCTTCCATAAACGTGAAGGAACCTTCCTGCCTTTGAAAATAAATAATATTTGTATTTTTGCTTTCCTCTAACTGAACTTTAGCATTTTATTCCATTACATATGTGGCTGCAAAGTACAGAGGAGTTAAAACTTCCCACAACTCTGACACAGATGGAAAAAACTAACGCAACATCAGGAAGCTAAGTCATGATGCTCTTGATCGCCTGAAATCCAGGAGTTCTGTGGAACTAATACTCCAAGGGAAGAGCTGAAACACTGTAGAAAACATGATTCTGCATTTGTTATCTTTAAGTATTTTATACTCTATGTCAGTGCTTCTCACAGTTACAAGAGCATAAGGACCACTGAGAGCTTGTTAAACACAGATTCCCAGGCTCCACCCTCAATTAACCCAATTCAAGCAGGTCTGGGGTAGGGCCTGCCATTCTGTGTGTCTAATAAGCTCCTGGAGAAGCCCGTGTCCTGGAACCACATGGTTAGCAGCAGTGTTGCTCTACTCTACCTCAGCCATAAGAAGGCTCCTCAGGGACATGTCTTTAGAAAACATCTTGAAAAGCTAGTTTTCGGGGCGCCTGGGTAGCTCAGTGGGTTAAGCCTCTGCCTTCAGCTCGGGTCATGATCCCAGGGTCCTGGGATTGAGCCCTGCATCGGGCTCTCAGCACAGAACCTCCTCCCCCCTCTCTCTGCCTGCTGCTCTGCCTATTCTCTTTCTGTCAAGTAAATAAATAAAATTTAAAAAAAAAGAAAGAAAAGCTAGTTTTCTCTTAGAAATAACAGCAAGCATCAGACACATGAAAAAATGTTCATCATCACTAGCCATCAGGGAGATTCAAATTAAAACCACATTGAGATACCACCTTATACCAGTTAGAATGGCCGAAATTACCAAGACAGGAAACAACATGTGTTGGAGAGGATGTGGAGAAAGGGGAACCCTCTTACACTGTTGGTGGGAATGCAAGTTGGTGCAGCCACTTTGGAGAACAGTGTGGAGATTCCTCAAGAAATTAAAAATAGAGCTTCCCTATAACCCTGCAATTGCACTACTGGGTATTTACCCCAAAGATACAGATGTAGTGAAAAGAATGGCCATCTGTACCCCACTGTTTATAGCAACAATGGCCACGGTTGCCAAACTGTGGAAAGAACCAAGATGCCCTTCAACGGACAAATGGGTAAGGAAGATGTGGTCCATATACACTATGGAGTATTATGCCTCCATCAGGAAGGATGAATACCCAACTTTTGTAGCAACATGGACAGGACTGGAAGAGATGATGCTGAGTGAAATAAGTCAAGCAGAGAGAGTCAATTATCATATGGTTTCACTTATTTGTGGAGCATAACAAATAACATGGAGGACATAGGGAGATGGAGAGGAGAAGGGAGTTGAAGGAAATTGGAAGGGGAGATGAACCATGAGAGACTATGGATTCTGAAAAACAATCTGAGGGTTTTGAAGGGGTGGGGGGTGGGAAACTGGGGGAGCCAGGTGGTGGGTATTATTGAGGGCACGTATGGCATGGAGCATTGGGTGTGGTGCATAAACAATGAATTCTGTTATGCTGAAAAGAAATTTAAAAAAAAAAAAAAAAGAAAGAACAGCAAGCTTCTATCCTATGGCCAATGCAAATCATGGGTTGTCTGTGTTTGCGTTTCTCCTGGGCCACCAGGAAGACCACAGTTAATGGCTCTTCGTTGGACTGTTTTGTCTATCTGTATTCCAACAAAGAATGTTCCTTCCATCATTCCTTGTAATATCAAATTTGGAAATTACCTGAATGTCATAAAATGGGGGGCTAGTTAAATAAATCATATTCCATGCATATGATGGAGCATTATGTACCTTGCTTTAAAAAAATGGTGTGGGGGCGCCTGGGTGGCTCAGTGGGTTAAAGCCTCTGCCTTCGGCTCAGGTCATGGTCCCAGGGTTCTGGGATCGAGCCCTGCATCGGGCTCTCTGCTCAGCGGGGAGCCTGCCTCCCCCTCTCTGCCTGCTTGTGATCTCTCTCTCTGTCAAATAAATAAATAAAATATTTAAAAATAAATAAAATTAAAAAATGGTGCGGTCCCAAGTACTAATATGTACAATCTCTAAGATATTTTAACTGGGAAAAAAAAGGGATAGAGTAGTATGTATAATAAGGGTCTTGCCGTTTTATCTATGTGTAGACAGAAGCTGTGATGTTCCACCCAAATCCCCTGAAGGACTGAGGTGTTTCTTCCAGCTGTTAGGAGAAGACTGGCTACTGCAGGCTTAAGCCCTTTTGCAAAGAGTCCTTGATCAAAGGGAGCTACCCACACAAACTTACGTCCCCTCCCTGGGGCAGCCTACAACCAGTGACTTGTTGATTTCGGAATATAAATGCTTCCTTCCCTCCATTCAGGACAACAGCAAGGGCCATCCCAGCTTGAAAGCATCTTGTAAGGTCAGCTGGTGCCTCTGTTTAAATCCCTCCGCCTAATCTTGCTTCCTTCGCTCCTTATAGGTATTCTAACAGTCTCCCTAGTAAACCTCTTGGGTGCAAATCTCCCACCTCCAAGTCTGTTTCCTGAAAACCCAGCCTGTGGTAAAGTATAAATGCCTGAAATGCACATATTTTTTTCTAGAACAGTTTCCCAAGAAGGGAAACTTGGTTACTTTATGCCACACTTACCTGGCACTCAATCATTTTCTGCTGTTCTTGGAAAAAGATTTGAGTCCTGTGAAGATAGAGATTGGGGGGAGGAGGATGGAGAAAGAGAGAACAGAGCTGTGAGGGACCAGGCCCATCTCGGAACTTGCAAAGTCCCTACATAAACCCAAGCTTGAAATCACTGCGGTAGAAGAAGAAAAACAACAACAACAACAAAAAAAACCGGTGCCATTCAATGCAGAATGTGAATGATAAAACAGATCTCCGTGAAGTAAAAGCTGCTACCAAGTAAGAAGTAAAAATTTATAAAAAGCCAGAATCTTTAAAATTTAAATAATTGGCCCCATGGGAGATGGAGCCAGATACATGCTCTGAGTGGGATCACCCCTGCAGAACAATAAATTTTCTCTTAAAGGCAAAAAGTCTTGGGTTTTGCCTCTTATTTACTTTTAAAGTTGCACTTGTTCACCTACCGGTGTTTATGAAATCCTATATTTGGGATGCTTTTTCTTTAATAACGTTATCATGAAAAAAAGTATATACTGAAAAGGGCTTTTGTAACTCATTACAGAGAACTCACGGCAATATAAAATAACTGTATAACATTAGTAAAACTAATGGTTACTTACACTGTGGTACGAATTATTACTGAAAGGCTAACCCTCATTATTCATCCAGCATATTAAGTGTTGTTAAAAAGTAATATTCAACAGATGAGAACAAACAACTGTCATTTTTAATTAAGATGTTTAGTTAAAGAGGTAACTATGTGGCTTAAATTATAAAAGAGAAAGGGTAAATCATAGATCATGAGTGTAAATATTTTATGACATACCTGAATGGTATGGTAAAATGGTAAAATCATGATACATCTGAAGCAAAGAATGCAAGAAGCACCTCTGTAATTCTGAGTGCCAGAAAGCAGACACTTCTTCAGTGATGGGTCCTGGCAAGGGGGCAGAGGAGGCAGCCTCAAGGGCTCCAACCATGTGAGAAGGAGTAGTAAGACCAAACTGGTCAAATCTACCAAAGCTAAACATGAATACTTCATGGTCCAGTAATTCTATATGAATGCGTATGTTCACAAGCTTTTAGTCTATAAAAACTATGAATTTATAATGAAATTCAAAAATCACAGTATTACCTTTTTTCCCTCCTAAAATAACTGGTACTGTAATTAAATAGGACTACTAAAACATGCAGGCTCCCAATTTCCAAAACATCCATACATTAGGAAATGTGGAACTAAATTGGTACAAAAAAATTAATAAAGACCGTTTGGGTTTTTCACTCACAGAAGTGAGAAACCTTATAAAAGGTCCAAAAATACTGTGTCAATAATCGACAGCCTGGAATTAAAAATTCACATTCAGGAGTGACAAGAACTCTCGTGCAAGGTTGACAGGATTATAACTTGGTTCAGCCATTTTGGGAAACTGGCCATATCTACTAGAAGCTTCCATTTAGTTTAGAGATTAGTGGAAGACACCAGATTCAAGGGGGAAAAAATTCCTTCAAAATGAATACATTCTCCTAGCTTTGTTTTACAGAAGTCTTTTCTCACTAATCTATTGACAAATCATCTTTCGATAAAGGAAATGATAAAGTGCCAGAAATATTCTCTGTCATGATCTGGGTGGTGGGTACATGAGGGTACACACGTGGAAACATTCGTAACATTATAGTGCTAAATGAGTTAATGATTTACTTCACTCAGTGGACAATAAATATCCACTTTTTTTTTTTTTAAGATTTTATTTATTTATTTGACAGAGAGAGATCACAAGTAGGCAGAGAAGCAGGCAGAGGGAGAGGGGAAAGCAGGCTCCCCTCCAATCAGAGAGCCTGATGCTGGGCTCAATCCCAGGACCCAGAGACCACGACCCAAGCCGAAGGCAGAGGCCCAACCCACTGAGCCACCCAAGCGCCCCTCCAATATCTCTTAATTGTATGAAAATGCTTTGAAATATTGTACAGGTCAGAAAGCATGACTCATATAGCACAGTTAGTGTAAAACAGACATTTAGCTATCAGGACTGTGCAGTGAGCTTATTATGCCTTTTACAAGATTTTTTTCTTTACAGAAGTATAATTTACATATAATAAATGAATCCAGTTGAATTGTATAGTTTGAGGAGTTTTGACAAATATATTCATTCACCCACATAACTCCCACACAATCAGGATATGGAACATTTCCAGGAACATCCTGTTCACAAGATATAATAATGAATTTATCTTAATGGTGTTAAGATTAACTACTTAGATTCCTGTCTCTTCTATAGAAGAAATTAAAAAAGTGATTTCCTTGAATGTTAAAATACAGATACTTCTTTGCTTAACTAATACATTAATCAAGTTATGCCAGTAAGTCAAAAAAGTAGTTAAATAAAAATATGATCTACTGTTTGAATTTCACTTATATGAAGGTCAGAAACAGACAACCCTAACCTATATGATAGCTCTGACTCTAGGCACTGCTTGGGAGGGTTGGGGGAAGGCTTTGGGGTGCTGGAAATGTTCTCTATTATGATGTGGGTGGTGAGTATGTGACTGTGCACATATGGAACAATTCATTAAGCTACACACTATTCTCTATGCATGTTACACCTTAAGTTAAAAAAAAAAATCCCCACAATCCCATTATTTAAAAACATGTAGAAAAGCTTTTGGTATGAAATACAATAAAATGTTATTAGTGCTATGACCTGGGTGGCAGGAAGTTTCATATTCTGATCTATAACTGAAACACACACACACACACACACACACACCCCATTATTTACATATCCCTGTTCTACTGCCTTTTTTCATCATGAGGGAAGCCACAGGAGGGCTTTAAAGGGGGTTGGAGGCCCTCTGAGAGAACCGAACTGCCCACCAGGGATTGAGCTGGCAGGAAAGGCCTGGGGCCAAGTAGCCTGGGGCAGTTACTCCAGCTTTGGATAACTATTTGATTCTCTGAAAGAGTACACTCCCTCCCTTCTCTCTCTGGATTTAGCTACTTGCTTCAGCCTGGTCTCTCCATGGGTGCAAAGTGTGGCAGATGTGCTAGTGAATGCGTGTCCGGAGGCCTGTGTTCTGGCCTGGCTCCGGGACCACCTAGGTCTGTGGCCTGGGAAAGTCACTTCATTCCCCTTTAAATGAGATGGCAGCATCAGTGGATGAGAAACTGCTGGTAAGAACTAGAGGAAAAACAGAATATCTATATAGTATCGAAATCTCCTGCCCCCAGATATTTATTCATTATAATATGAAAAACTGTAACTCTGCCCTAGAGAAACCTGGCAGATAGCACTGGTAAGTGACAGTTAACACACAGTGATGGGACACGAGTCATGTGCCCCTGATATGATGAACTGTGACAGGCACTGCATCCCTTCTGTGATATTTTGCCCAAAATGCATACTTGAATCTAATCATGAGGAAACATCAGACAAAATCATGTGAGTGACAATAATACAAAATAACTGGCCTATACTCTTCAAAAATGTTGACTTCATGAAAGACAAAAAGACTGAGGAACTGATTCCCATTAAAGGAGACTAAACGGATATGTTAGCTAAAGGTAGTCTGTGATCCTGAACTGGATTCTGGAATGAAAAAAGAAATGTTAGGAAATGACACTATAGGTTCACATCTGAATATGGACTGTGGATCAGATAATGGTATTAAATCACTGTGTTAACTGCCTGATTTTGAAAATTGCACTATGATTATATAGGAAAAGGCTCTCTTTCTTACGAAATGCACACTGAAGTATTTTGGGGGTAAAGGAGCATCAGGTCTGTAACTTATTCTCAAATACTTGAGAAGAAAGGACAAAAGTAATATATATTGATAATATAACCTTTACATATACAGAGACAGCATGACAGTGTAAGTGTTTATCTGGGTGAATGTACATTAAAGATAGAAAAGCTGACAGTAATATCCCTGCAACTTTTCCAAATAAAGTTTAATTTTAAAAAATCTATAGCTAGGGGCCCCTAGGTGGCTCGGATGGTTAAGCATCTGCCTTTGGCTCGGGTCATGATGCCGGGGGTCTCGGGATTGAGCCTGGCATCGGGCTTCCTGCTCAGTGGGGAGCCGGCTTCTCCCTCTCCTACTGCTCCCCTGCTTATGCTCTCTCACTCTCTCTGTCAAATAAGTAAATAAAATCTTTAAAAATAAATAAATAAGTAATCTAGGGTGCCTGGGTGGCTCAGTGGTTTAAGCCGCTGCATTCGGCTCAGGTCATGATCTCAGGGTCCTGGGATCGAGTCCCACATCGGGCTCTCTGCTCAGCAGGGAGCCTGCTTCCCTCCCTCTCTCTGCCTGCCTTCTCTGCCTACTTGTGATCTCTCTCTGTCAAATAAATAAATAAAATCTTTAAAAAAAAAAAATAAATAAATAAGTAAGTAATCTATAGCTCTAGTAGGTCTGCTGCCACTATCACTCTGAGAATCCAGGGACTTTTCTGTCCCTTAGTCAGGATGGAGTAAACTCCCCATATGCCTCGAGGCCAGGTGAGGTGGCAGAAATGACAAGGGAGCAACTTAGAAAGTGCCAGTAAGTGTAAGAGAGTGGGCTGGCTACATCACATGCTCTAAGATGGCAGAAGGTACTGTGTTGGACTGATATCTCCTTCTCTTGAGAAAACATGCCTATCTCACTTGGCTTTCCTTGCTTCCGCCTTTGCTCCATCTCTCTGAAACTTGGGACCAACCCTTCCCTTACCATGGAGGGTCCCTGGAAGGGGTGACACCAAGTTGAGTCTTGCTCAGCTTCTGGCCCGGGGAGGATGCTATTTCCTGTTACTTAGGAGTCTTTGCTCTGGCAAGAGGTCTCGGAACCTAGGTTGACCTTCAGAAGAGATTCTTGTCCCAAGTTCCCCCTCTCCAAATCCAGAGGGTCTTCAACTGGCCTACTAGTTCCTCACAGCTCCATCTCTCAACAGTAACTCACCTTCAGCTGCAGGCCCAGGGAGGGCTTTCTGGAGACTTGACCAAGGTCCTGTGATGCCCTGTTATGAGTGAGGTGGTGGGACCCACAGGTATACAGGGTACTCAGGTAACCTGAAGATAAACAGACCCCATGGTAAGAGTCATCCAACAGTCCCTCCCCAAATATTCTCTGAGGCCCAAGAGGAAGAAGCCTGCAGAGGACTGTGTAGGAGATAGAGCTAAGTGATGGCTTGCTTTGGGTTTGGGGCAGGAGGATCTTCTGGAAGGACTGAGTCTCAGAACCACTCAGAGAGAAGTCTGAACCAAGCAATTCTGCTAACCAACTGAGGGGAATCTAAGCCAAATAATTTACCTCTCTGGGGGTGTTTTCTTATCTGTGAAAACAGGAATGATAAATGATAAACATAATTTTAAAAAGCCCATTTCTGGAGACTTTCTGTAAGTTACCTCTTTTAATACCTATTCAGGTAAGGTTGAAAGGGGCTGAATTATGAATTAACACCTGCTTTCCCAGGTAAGTCAGGTTGGATGTGAGGGACAGAGGCTTCTCTGCCCCTGAGTGAATCTACCAGATGTTCTAGGTTCCCTAAGAAAGATTCCTTTCAGAATATCCTACATTTGCTGAATCACTGTGTCTTAGCCCCAGGGCAGGGAACCCCTATGAAGACTCTTTCAAGCTGCCTAATTTAGGTCTCTGCAGCCAAAAGTCAGTCTCTAAAAAGCTAATAAGAGATTTTGACCAGGGGGCTCTGAGACTCCCCTCCGAATATCTACAGAGAAGAGCCATCCTCAACTCATTAACAACCTTAAGAGGAGGACCCTTATTCGAAGTCCACTCCAAACCCACAGAGTCCCATTTCACTGTGCATGTTTTTGGCTTCTAGAAGGACTAGCAGAAAACAGGCAATCTCAAATGGCCCAACCAGGGCTACAGGTCAGAATTTCGTTCTGGTGTTTGATTTTAGAGTCTCGGACAAAACTTCCCCATGGTATGAATGTTTTGCCCCCAGATTATTTCTGTGATTCCACTCAAATCAAGTTCAAAAATGGACAAAATTACTCCATTATTAGACCCAGAGGTGGCAGTGGGTACTGATCAATAAAGAAGGCTTCAGGGTGCTAGAGATGATGTATATCTTGATCTTGGTTGTATTTACGTGGTTTTTCACAATGTAGAAATTCACTGAGCTATACCCTTAAGATAAGCATACTTGACTGTATGTATACCTCAGTTTTTTTTTTTTAAGATTTTATTTATTTACTTGACAGAGAGAGATCACAAGCAGACAGAGAGGCAGGCAGAGGGGGGGGGGAAGCAGGCTCCCTGCTGAGCAGAGAGCCCGATGCGGGACCCGATCCCAGGATCCTGAGATCATGACCTGAGCCGAAGGCAGCGGCTTAACCCACTGAGCCACCCAGGCGCCCTATACCTCAGTTTTTAAAAAAAGAGTAATAATCTGGAAAAATGTACAAATAAAATGAAATAATCTGGATTCAAACTTAAAAAACATTCATGCATAGCCATATACTGCCTCCCTCTTCCTATCCCCCTCCCCCGGCCCCAGGTATGAATGTTCCATCTAATTAGAGTTCAAAAACAGGCAAAATTAATCAGTGATATTAGAAGCTGGGAGAATGGTTCCCCCTGGCAGGTTAGTGACAGGGAACACATATCATGGAGGCTTTCAGGATGCTACAATGTTTTTTTTCTGATCTGAGTACATTACTCAAGGGAGTTCCTTTTGTGACAATTCACTGAGCTGCATATTTAAGTATATCTCTGTATATATCTTATATCTCAGTAACAGGTTCATATTAAAAATTTAAAAAAGAAAACTTATTTGTTCCCAAACCTGGCACTGAACACACCATAGGTGATGAAGGAAAATAGCCACAAGAAAAAGAAAATACGTTCAACTCCTAACTCCTTATCCAAGCTAATGACTTCTGCCCCAGAACAACTACCTATCTTTGATTCTGTGCAACTGAAAACAGAGGCTATCTGCTCTAAAAACTAAGGCTTGATGTGTATGGCTTCTGAAAGATATTTACCTGCCTTACCTTTCAGCTTTCTTTGTTTCAGAAGATGTTATAGTTATTGTGCTTTGCCTGAGAACTACATAAGGATCAGATACAATACTTTAAAACAAGAAAATACTGTTTTGGCATTTTACCCTAATGGTCAAAATCTTATCTCCATGGTATTTGTAGTCTTGTCTCAGCCCATCTTAATTATCAGTAGTTTGACTTTAATTTCCGTGAAGAGCAGTTTCTAAAAGTAGCTTTAAGTTTTGTTTTTGTAGTTTTATCTTCATTGAATTATTCTACCAGGATATTACAAAGAACAGATTCAAGGAGGTCAAAAGTGTCATGCCTAAAAAAATATAGACCAAGGCAAAAGGATTCTTAGAACACAGTTTTGGGGCACCTGGGTGGCTCAGTGGGTTAAGCCTCTGCCTTTGGCTCGGGTCATGATTTCAGGGTCCTGGGATCAAGGCCCACATCAGGCTCTCTGCTCAGCGGAGAGCCCGTTTCCCCCTCTCTCTCTCTGCCTACTTGTGATACTTCTCTCTCTGTCAAAATAAATAAATAAAATTAAAAAAAAAAACTCATTAAAAAAAAAAGAACACAGTTTCTTTTCCTTACATAATTTATTTGTTTTTTCCCCAGCCTTATTGAGGTGACATGTAATATTGCATAAGTTTAAGGTGTACAATACCATGATTTGATATACGTATATATTTCAAAATAATTACCACAGTAGGGTTAGTTAACACTTCCATCACCTCACATAATTACTTTCTGCATATGTGTGGAGGAACATTATTTTTAAGTTAAGCCTAGATAAAATTATTTTCCAAACACCCTCGAAGTTTGTTCCTTTGACCAAATCTTTTACAATATCAGTTTAGATACTTACTCAGTAAATTCTTTGTTTTCTAACCACAGGCAAAGTCACCTCCATCCTAGCTGCCATAGGGTCAGACTAGATTTCCAGAAACCAGACTCACCCTTGGGATGTTGTCACAAATGGATACGTCATTACCGTTGCCAGAAAGGGCCTTAAAGGAAACATTGAAAGAAATATGCACTAAATCCTTGGCAAAAGCAATAGAAGCCACATTTTTAATAACGTGGTACTTAAGGTAAGTTTAACATTTGGTCTTTTCAAAGCACTTTCATTAATGTGGGGAACAATAAAAAAGGGAACAATAAAAACAATAAAAAAAATTAATGTGGGGAACAATAAAAAGGTTCAAAGAGTTTTGATGTGGGCTTTTGCAGAGGTACTAGACTGAACTGAACTGAATGTTCATCAGCTGGTGGGTGTCACAGGGGAAAAGTGTGCTCCCATTATGCAGGGCTGCAGCCTCAAATCCTTAACTCTCCCATCCCCAACCTCTAAATTTCACAATCCTTCTCAACACCCATTAAGCTTCCTACTCATAGATATATATAGTGCCTCAATCTACAGCAAAGGTTCTTGTAGTCACTGATATCCCTGTATGTCCAAACACGACCATCAAAGACTGCTAGTCAGTGACTACAAAGCTCATTGATAGGTTCTGATTGCCCAACAGTGAATTACACAAATCCCTAATCGCGAACCCACACTGCTCTCCAATGATATCCCAATGAGTGAAAAACAATCGTTGACCCCCACAGTCCCACCTCTCCCCGCAATTACTGACAGCCCCAATCACTGACACCCATTGATCCTTGTGTTCTCCATTCCCTGATCTACGAAAGACCAATCTCTAAAACCTTCAGATTCCTCCTCCCATCCATGATCTAAAGGATGTCTCAATCACTGATGGCCTAAAGCATTTCTCTAAACACTGGTCCCCATAACCCACTCCCATCACTTAACCTCAAAGTTTCCACAATCATCACTTTCAGGTACCCAAAAAGAACTTGGAACCTCCAATCACTGATCCTCTCAGGCTTCGAACATTGAGCTCTAATGCTGTTCAAACCAGTGCTTTTGAAGCACCCCACTTGGCACCAAACCCCTGAAGACCACTATAAACTGACCACCACTCACTCTTCGAAGCAAGAAATCGAGAACCCTCATTTATTAATTCCCAAGTACTCCCAATTCATCTTCACAGACACTGCCACTGACTCCCACAAACCTCCACCAGCCACCACAGACCCCCACGAGGCTCCCACGTCCAATCACTTAACCCTTTCCGTACCCTCCTCTCTGACCCTTACGGGCACCCATGACTGACCCAGTCGGGCCACCGTAGTCCTCCGATCACTAACCTATAGAGGTTTTTAATTTCGACTGTTTCTCACACTGACCTTTCCCATTTCTCCTGGATCCGCGTCCATAACCCGAAATTGATAGCCGGACCACGGTGCCTCACCGCAGTATAATCTCTTCCCATCGCAACTGGCCAGTGCGCAGACTCAGTCACGACTTTGAGGTTGTCGGCCGCCACCTGGCAACCGTCCAACGAACAGGATTCTGGGTTTCTGAACTTTAACGGGAGGTATGATGGCTGCGCCCTTTTGACATCCTGTTGGGGGAGGCCATATTTAAAGCTGTGCCGTACAGTGGTGAATTAGCCCTTTGTTAGCCCAGAGGGCTAAGCTATTTTAGGGCTGGGAGAATCAAGTGCTCCTGGATCCGTAAACACTGACGTCCCTGCTGCTTTTAGCTTCTCAGAAGCCCGAACCTCCTGCAATCAATATGCAGCCGCCCTGACCTCCAAGATGAGATTTCTTTGTCTCCAGCAGCGCAGGCGCTGAAGTAAGATGGCCACGAACATTTATACAGTTTCTTGCGTGCAGTGGGCGGGGCCATCTCATGGGAGGAGCTCCCCAAAGCAAGGTGAAACTTTTTCTGGGACCGCTTTAGGAGTTAGAGACCCGGAAGAGACGCTCTTCCCTTGGGGAGCCTGAGGGCTCCAGAAGAAGGGGTGAGAACTCCGGAGTGGGCGGAGCCATGGGAGACTGGTAGTACGAAGTTAATGACTGTTACTGAAAGAAAATGTTGAAAGCAGAGACTTTTTTTTTAAACTTTCAACTATTTTTAATAAATTATAATTAAGAGTTTTAGCATTCTGTGTTGTTGCTGCTGATTTGAAAGATTCGACATGAATTTTTATTTATTTATTTTTTTAAATTTCTGTCCTGGGCGCCTGGGTGGCTCAGTGGGTTAAAGCCTCTGCCTTCAGCTCAGGTCATGATCCTAGCGTCTTGGAATCGAGCACCTCATCGGGCTCTCTGCTCAGCAGGGAGCCTGCTTCGCTTCCCCTCTCTCTGCCGGCCTCTCCGCCTACTTGTAATCTCTGTCAAATAAATAAAATCTTTCCAAAAAAATCTTAAAAAAATATTTCTGTCCTGTGTTAATGCTGAGCCAGGTAGGTGTCAAGGACTTTATCTTAAACTACTTAAGATACAAAATAAATAAGTTACAAAATAAAATTCAGCCGGGTAAATTTGAATATCTAGTTGGCTTTATTAAAGGATTCATGAATCAGGCAGCATCCTATTTAGCAAGTCAAAAGGAATGCCTCCTCGGAGTTGTACAAAATGGAAGGTTTTTGTTTTGTTTTTGTTTTAAATGGAAGGTTTTTATAGGAAGAAGGGATGGGGAAATGGCAAGAAAGTTATTAGCAAAAGAACCTGGAACCCTGTTCCAGGCAGGGTTACCTTCCCTTAGGTGGAAGAGCAGGGATCTTATTAGGTGGATAACTGACTCATATGGGTCACCAAGTTTTTACTGAACACAAAGGGCTCCTGGCTTGGGGTGCATCGAGGCCAAAAAATTAGCCCAAGTCTTTTGGTTTGAGCAAATGGTTGTTACTACTTGCAGCTAGTAAGGAGATAGAGAGTCCACAAATTTCTGTCTCTAATGCAAATTGCGGGACCAATTCATACTGCCAGATGGCAGCCTTTTGGTGGGTTTATTCTTGGAGTTAGGAAGTGATCACAGGAACTTATAAAACCTTTATAATCATTCAGGCATGACTGAACAGAGGTTTGCTTAACTGCAATTTCCCAGGAACATTTATGATTTTCTTTCTTCCCAAACATCTGCTCGGTTGAGTAACTTTGGTGGGCTTCCAGGAACAGGAAAGTTCTCAAGAACTCCTGAAGCTGAACAACAAACATGCTAGAAGAAACAAGATAGTTCATTTGTTTTAATTTCTCACTGTGGTCCCTGATAACCTAATCCGTAACATAATCTTATTTTTGGGGGAATGGAGAGGCCCCAAATAACAGTTTATCTCATTGATGCTAATCAGAAAATTCCCGACTGACTTGTTAAGACTTACATTTCTTTACTTTTTTTTTAAGATTTTTTTTTCTTAATCTAATTATCTGATAGAGAGAGTACAAGCAGGGGGAGTAGCAGAGGGAGAGGGAGAAGCAGGCTCGCTGCTGAGTGGGGAACCCAACGAGCCCAGGTGGGGCTTGATCCCAGGACCCTGGGATCACACCTGAGCTGAAGGCAGATGCTTAACTACTGAGCCACCCAGGTGCCCCAAGACTTACATTTCTAGGGGAGGTTGAAACTAGAGTTAGGTTAAGTATTATTAAGCCCTGGTTTGGTGGCTTGGATAAGTGACACCATTTTAGGCCTGTGATTTTCTTTTCTAAGAGTGGCTTGCCCCAGATGCTGACTGATGTAGGAAAGATGATAGGATTCAAAGTCAACAGCCAAGAAAGAATTTTTAGACATCTTTGGTGCAAAAAGGTGATTTCATAATAGAACTACCCTATGACCCAGCGATTGTACTACTGGGTATATACCCTAAAGATACAAACATGGTGCTCCAAAGGGGCATGTGCACCCGAATGTTTATAGTAGCAATGTCCACAATAGCCAAACTATGGAAAGAATCTAGATGTTCATCAACAGATGAATGGATAAAGAAGATGTGGTATATATATACAATGGAATACTATGCAGCCATCAAAAGAAATGAAATCTTGCCATTTGCGATGACGTGGATGGAACTAGAGGGTATTATCCTTAGCAAAATAAGTCAATTGGAGAAAAACAACTATCACATGATCTCCCTGATTTGAGGAAGTGGAGATACAACGTGGGGGTTTTGGGGGATAGGAAAAGAAAAAATGAAATAAGATGGGATCGGGAGGGAGACAAACCATAAAAGACTCAATCTCACAAAACAGACTGAGGGTTGCTGGGGGGAGGGGAGTCGGGAGAGGGTGGTGGGGTTATGGACATTGGGGAGGGTATGTGCTATGGTGAGTGCTGTGAAATGTGTAAACCTGGTGATTCACAGACCTGTACCCCTGGGGATAAAAATACATTATATGTTTATAAAAAATTTTAAAAATTAATTAAAAAAAAGGTGATTTCATTAAAGAATAGGCATGGGACCCATGAAGAGAAAGAGCTGCCCTGGGGTCATGAGGAGTGGCCCATTATACACTTTCAAGTTGGGAGGGTGTTAGGGAAAGCACAAGTCTCTAAGGAATTTTGGAAACAAGGTCTCCAGGACCTTGAGGGGGCTAGCTGTTGTTGGGAAAGAGTCATTTATTACTGTCTAATAAAACCTGAGTCATGAGACCCTTCAGATGTATATCAGCAGGTCATATGCTCAGGGTTGATTGATAACATATATCTTAGGAGGTGGGCATAGAGATAAAGGAAGTTTCCAAAGGAATCTTTATATGTTAAGGTAGACTTACAGGGTTCTGGGGGTTTGGGCTAGGATTGCGTTTTCCCCTTAGTGAAGTGTCAATATCGAGCAGCTGAGCTCCTAAGAGGAAGGTCACTTTGCCTGTTTCAAGGGCTTGTGAATGTCCTGTAAGTAGTGAGGAAATTTAATAATTTTTCTTTTGCCTTTGTTTCCCACATCACTGACCTGAGACAAGAATGCGAGTGTGGGCAATTTATTTGGCAGGTGGAAAATAGGCAAATGACAATGGAGGAATGGAGCCCAATACAGACTGTATCAATGAGGGGGTTATCACTGTGAGCAATAGGGGCTCAGTCCTGCGGGGAACTCTGGAAGATAGTGTAGATACAAATTGTCTTGTTCAAGGGCTGCTGAAACTGAGATATTTGTACATTGTCTCTTGTCCCTCATTATTGGGTGCTATAGCAAGGACCTTAAACCACTTCTAGCTCACCTCATGGGCAAGGTTTCAGGCAGAATCTGTAGGTACTGGAGGCAGAGTTTCTGTTAAGCACCATTTACTTGTGTTCTGTACTTCGCCTCTGAATAAGCCAAGTTGAACAAGAACGTGAACGAGAAGCCATGTTCCCACTTCAAGGAGTAAGCAAGAAAGTTAATCATTCTCTGAGTTTCGTCCTAGGCCCCAAACACCTGATAATATCCAAGGAGAGTCAGATCCCAAATATGTGCCATGACATAGTGTCAAACAAACCTCAGCTGATGCTGGCATCAACACCCCTGGGTGTTGGATCCTCTTGGCTGGTCCTGTGGGACCCTCCCCTGGGTCTTTAGACCCAGTCTGCCTGCATCATACTGACGGCATTCATTTCATACGACCTGAAGCTGTGCTCTGCACATTATAGGCATTGGAACATCTCTAAGAATGGTTACTTTGCATTATGAAGATAGCTTTTTAAAAAACCCTAATTCCAGAGCACCTGGGTGCTCAGTGGGTTAAAGCCTCTGCCTTCGGCTCAGGTCATGATCCCAGGATCCTGAGATCAAGCCCCGCATAGGGCTCTCTGCTTGGTAGGGAGCCTGCTTCCCTTCCTCTCTCTCTGCCTGCCTCTCTGCCTACTTGTAATCTCTGTCAAATAAATAAATTAAAAAAAATAAATTAATTAAAAAATAAATTAAAAAAACCCTAATTCCATTTGGTCATCATACTAACTGATATAACAGGTGACCTCCAAAATGGCTCCCAACGCTTCCTACCTCTTGATATTAACATCCTTGTGGAGTCCCTTACACACTGGACCAGGGCTGGTCTGTGAGGCTAATAAAATACAGTAGAAGTGATGGTAAATCACTGCTAAGATTAACTTGTAAATGATACTCAGCTTCTGTTTTAGAGGTATGTGCTTTTGCTCTCCCTCTCTCTCTCTCAAATAATTTACTCTTGGAGAAGTTTGTTGCCATGTCATGAGGCACAAATAATAATAAGGAACAAAACAAGCAACTAAAGTTGTAGGTACCTTGTTTTTAAAAACTAAATTGTTTGATATCAGTTCCCAGGCTCTCGAGCTCAGCCAAAGCCTCTCCATCCCTTCACCCAGGAAGCACCTCCTCATCCTTCAGCAGATGTTGTCTATCTCCTGGAGGGATCAAGATCTCTTCTCCATGTAGTAGGAGGTGGAGGAAGGGGTGACGCCAGTTCCAGGACATTTGAACATCCCTAGGCTGAGAGTCTGAGGCCACAGGAGGCCTTCAATTCCCAGTCATTATTCTTGGCAGTCTTAAAC